TCGTAAATGGGATGGAGGCTGCTGGAGGCGGCTGGGCAAGAAGAACACGATCCAATCCCTCCCGACGGATGGCCATCCATTGCGACATTTCCCTCTTCCACAATGCCCAAGTCAGAGAAAAAAGAGGGGCATTAAACCACCACCACCACCACAACAACGACAAGAGCCAGCGTAGTGGTTTTGTGCTCACGATGAATCCGAAGGGGTGTGCGTTGGAGCCGAGCTTGCGGAGGAGCCTCTCCTGGAGGCGGGAGAGGGGCTCCTTGGGGGTCTCCTGGGCCGGAGGGAAGGCCTGCCAGGACGCCAGGAAGAGGTCCTTCCGGAAGGACAGGCCCAGCACGTCCAGGTCCTCGCGCCCGTACCGGAAGGCGCAGGTCAGCGTCACAAACACTGCGGGGAGAGCGGAAGGCAGGGGCGCCCGTCAGAAGCCAGGCCGGCACAAGGGGGGGGGGCTGCCTGGCCAAGGGGCTCCAGCAGCATCTTCTCCTGACATGTCGCCTGCATCCATGGCTAATGGCTTCCTCAGAGGCTTGTTCAGGTGCCTGATGGAAATGAGGCAAGTGGAGCGCATACCTATCTGCGGAATAATGTCCAATGTGAGCGAACATTTCGTTAACGCTTTGCGCATGCGCGGGGGGGGGGTCCGCCATCTTAACGAATCAATTCGTAAATATTTACGAAATTTCGTAAATACCAAACTTTTAGGGAAAATTTTGTAATTATTTTAAATATCGAAACAAAAAAACACCCCAATTACAAATCGATTTTAGAAACAAATTTTTCCGTTGTTACCCAGGCCTAATAAATACTATTACTTTGCTATATTATTCAAATATTAAAATGCATTAAATTAAATGTCAAATTTAAAAATATTTAATTATTAATATTTAGGTAACATTGCAAAATAATATTGGTTTATTTAATTATTAAGTAAACGAATATTATTTTGCATTGTTTCCTAAATATTAAGGAGTTACATATTTAAATTAAATGATAAATAATACTTTGCTATATTACTCAAATATTTCAGAATGCCTTAAATGAAATGGTAAATTGAATTTTAATTTGACATTTAATTTAATGCATTTTAATTTAATGCATTTTAAATATTTTTAATATATGCCTATATATATATATATATATATATATATATATATATATATGCCTTAAATGAAATGGTAAATTAAATATCAAAATATTATTTTGCAATGTTACTTTATTGTTATTGCATTATTATTATTATTATTATTATTATTATTATTATTATTATTAGAAATACATTAAACAGCATATTAAATGCTAGAAATACATTTAAATTAAATTAAAAATAAATAATATTTTGTTGGGTTTTTTAAATTATATTTTTATTAAACACCGATAAGAGAGAAAGTGGGAATTACAATTATATATTTTTTGTTATTTAAACTAAATATTGCGAAATTATGGTTTTTTTCTTGAAGTGACACACCACCTGAATTATGCTCAGTTTTTTGGCGAATTTTGACACACCACGCTCAAAAGGTTGCCCATCACTGGTCTAGAGGCATTCTCTCCTGACGTTTCGCCTGCATCTATGGCAAGCATCCTCAGAGGTAGTGAGGTCTGTTGGAACTCGGAAAAGGGGTTTATATATCTGTGGAATGACCAGGTGTGAATGTTTCAGCTGACCACCTTGATTAGCATTTGATGGCCTGGCAGTGCCTGGAGCAAACTTTTGTTGAGAGGTGATTAGATGTCCTTGTTTGTTTCCTCTCTGTTTTGGGACATCTAATCACCTCTCAACAAAAGTTTTCTCTAGGCACTGTCAGGCCATTATATGCTAATCAAGGTGGTCAGTTGAAACATTCACACCTAGCTCCAGCAGACAAGAGTCCTTTGTCTCACCATGGTCATTCCACAGATATATAAACCCTTTTTCCTAGTTCCAACAGACCTCACAACCTCTGAGAATGCTTGCCATAGATGCAGGCGAAACGTCAGGAGAGAATGCCTCTAGACCATGGCCATATAGCCCGAAAAAACCTACAACAACCCAGTGATTCTGGCCATGAAAGCCTCCGACAATATAAACAATTCCTCATGTTGTGATGACCCCCAACCACAACATTATTTTTGTTGCGACTTCATAACTGTCATTTTGCTAATGTTATTAATCATAATGTAAATGTCTGATATGCAGGATGTATTTTCATTCACTGGACCAAATTTGGCACAAGTACCCGATATGCCCAAATTTGAATACTGGTGGGGTTGGGGGAGGGGTTGATTTTGTCATTGGGGAGTTGTAGTTGCTGGGATTTATAGTTTATTTAAATTCAAAGTACATTCTGAACTCCACCAATGATGGAATTGAACCAAACCCTTTTCATGACCAACAGAAAAGAGTTTGGTGGGCATTGACCTTGAGTTTGGGAGCTATAGTTCACCTACATCCAGAGAGCACTGTGAACTCAAACAATGTTGTATCTGGACCAAACTTGGCACGAATACTCAATATGCCCAAATGTGAACACTGGTGTAGTTCGGGGAAAATAGACCTTGACATTTGGGAGTTGTAGTTGCTGGGATTTATAATTCATTTAAATTCAAAGAGCATTCTGAACTCCACCAACAATGGAATTGAACCGGACTTGGCACACAGAACTCTCATGACCAATAGAAAATACTGGAAGGGTTTGGTGGGCATTGACCTTGAGTTTGGGAGCTGTAGTTCACCTACATTCAGAGAGCACAGTGAACTCAAACAATGATGGATCTGGACCAAACGTGGCACGAATACTCAATATGCCCAAATGTGAACAATGGTGGAGTTTGGGGAAAGTAAACCTTGACATTTGGGAGTTGTAGTTGCTGGGATTTATAGTTCACCTCCAATCAAAGAGCATTCTGAACTCCACCAATGATGCAGTTGAACCAGACTTGGCACACATAACTCTCATGGCAACAGAAAATACTGGAGGGTTTGGTGGGCATTGACCTTGAGTTTGGGAGTTGTAGTTCACCTACATCCGGAGAGCACTGTGAACTCAAACAATCATGGATCTGGACCAAACTTGGCACGAATACTCAATATGCCCAAATGTGAACACTGGTGGAGTTTGAGAAAAATAGACCTTGACATTTGAGAGTTTTTTAGTTGCCGGAATTTATAGTTCACTTCAATCAAAGAGGCCTTTGGGGGTCCCTTCCTACTTTATGGCGGGGTCTCCTTCTCAGGAGCACTTTAAAGAGAGGCCATATGGCCATCTGTTGGGAATGCTTTGATTGTACCTATCAGAATGGGGTTGGTCTGGATAGCTTTTGGGAACAGAGTCAAGAAGGCCATCTGTTGGGAATGCTTTGATTGTGCCTGTCAGAATGGGGTTGGACTGGATGGCCTATGGGGGTCCCTTCCAACTTTATGGTGGGGTCTCCTTCTCAGGAGCCCTTTAAAGGGATACCATATGGCCATCTGTTGGGAATGCTTTGATTGTGGCTATCAGAATGGGGTAGGTTTGGATGGCCTTTGGGAGCATAGGCCATATGACCATCTGTTGGGAATGCTTTGATTGTGCCTGTCAGAATGGGGTTGGACTGGATGGCCTTTGGGGGTCCCTTCCAACTTTATGATGGGGTCTCCTTCTCAGCAGCTCTTTAAAGAGATGCCATATGGCCATCTGTTGGGAATGCTTTGATTGTGCCTGTCAGAATGGGGTTGGACTGGATGGCCTTTGGGGTCCCTTCTAACTCTATAGCGGAATCTTTAACCTGAGGCTGGTGGCCATCTGTTGGGAATGCATTTCAAAATGGGGTTGGTTTGGATGGCCTTTGGAAACAGAGGCCATATGACCATCTGTTGGGAATGCTTTGATTGTGCCTGTCAGAATGGGGTTGGACTGGATGGCCTTTAGGGGTCCCTTCCAACTTAATGGTGGGGTCTCCTTCTCAGCAGCTCTTTAAAGAGAGGCCATATGGCTATCTATTGGGAATGCTTTGATTGTGCCTGTCAGAATGGGCTTGAACTGGATGGCCTTTAGGGCTCCCTTCCAACTTAATGGTGGGGTTTCCTTCTCAGGAGCCCTTTAAAGGGATACCATATGGCCATCTATTGGGGATGCTTTGATTGTGCCTGTCAGAATGGGGTTGGACTGGATGGCCTTTAGGGCTCCCTTCCAACTTAATGGTGGGGTCTCTCCTTTTCAGGAGCTCTTTAAAGAGACGCTGTATGTCCATTTGTTGGGAATGCTTTGATTGTACCTATCAGAATGGGGTTGGACTGGATAGCTTTTGGGAACAGAGTCAAGAAGGCCATCTGTTGGGGATGCTTTGATTGTGCCTGTCAGAATGGGGTTGGACTGGATGGCCTTTGGGGGTCCCTTCCAACTTCACGGAGGGGTCTCCTTCTCAGGAGCTCTTTAAAGTGAAGCCACGTGGCCATCTATTGAGAATGTTTGATTATGTCTATCAGAATGGGGTAGGTTTGGATGACCTTTGGGAGCATAGGCCATATGACCATCTGTTGGGAATGCTTTGATTGTGCCTGTCAGAATGGGGTGGACTGGATGGCCTTTGGGGGTCCCTTCCAACTTTATGGTGGAATCTCCTTTTCAGGAGCTCTTTAAAGAGCTCTTTAATATGGCCATCTGTTGGGAATGCTTTGATTGCGCCTGTCAGAATGGGGTTGGACTGGATGGCCTTTGGGGGTCCCTTCCAACTTTATGGTGGAATCTCCTTTTCAGGAGCTCTTTAAAGAGACGCCATATGGCCATCTGTTGGGAATGCTTTGATTGCGCCTGTCAGAATGGGGTTGGACTGGATGGCCTTTGGGGGTCCCTTCCAACTTTATGGTGGAATCTCCTTTTCAGGAGCTCTCTAAAGCGAGGTCATATGGCTTTGTTTGTATCTGTCAGAATGGGGTTGGACTGGATGGCCTCTGGGGGTCCCTTCCAACCCTATGATTCCATGATTCCCAGCCTTGTGCCCTGACCCCTTTCCTTCTGCTTTTCCCCCTTCTCTCCCAGAACGTGCTGGCCAAGGCGCTCTACGACAATGTGGCGGAGTCTCCGGACGAGCTCTCCTTCCGCAAGGGCGACATCATGACGGTGCTGGAGCGCAACACGCAGGGCCTGGACGGGTGGTGGCTCTGCTCACTCCATGGCCGACAAGGCATCGTGCCGGGGAACCGGCTCAAGATCCTGGTGGGCATGTACGACAAGAAGCAGCTTCCGGGGAGCGCCCACCAGCCGGCGGTGGTGCCACCGCAGCCAGCGAACCCCGCCGCATTCCCGCACCAAGGGGGCTTCACCGCGCTCTCGCCCGCCTCGCAATACACCCCCATGCACCCTTCCTTCGCCCCGCAAGAGGACAACGTGTACCTCGTGCCGGCGCTCACCAAAGCCCAGGCAGCCACCCTCGCCAGCCCCTTCCAGTCCCCTCCGGGCAAGCAAGCCTCCCCTTACCCAAAACAAAGCCCCCCGCAAGGCCAGGAGGTCTACCAAGTGCCCGCCGCGCCGCAGGATGTTTACCAAGTGCCACCAACGCCCGCCGGGATCGGGCAGGAGATCTACCAGGTGCCGCCATCCCTGGACGGACGGAGCTGGGAGACGCCGAAAGCGCCGGGGAAGGTAAACAACAGGCTTGGGTAACCACGGAAAAATTTGGTTCTAAACTCGTTTTGTTTTTAGGGGGCCCTTGCGTTTCGGTTTTTTTTTTTTTAATAATTCCGAAATTTTCCTTTTAAAATTTTCGAAATTTTTGAAATTTCTGAAATTTTGTAAAATTACGAATCGATTCGTTAATGGCGGACGAGATTGCGCAATATGCTAAAAAAACCTCCAAATGGGACAGGGGGAACTTCTGAAGCTTCCCTCTCCCTCTGTTGTTGACTGTTGGTGTGATAAAACTAACAACAACTATATTATATTATATTATATTATAATATTATTATATTATATTATTGTATATTATATTATATTATTATATTATATTATTGTATATTATATTATTATATATTATATTATTATTATATATAATTATATTATATATATTATAATATATATATATAATATTATTATATATATATATATATATAATAATTATTATATTATATTATATATAATTATATTATTATTTATTTATTATATATTTATATTATATTATTATATTATATATATTATATTATAATATATTATAATAATATAATATATATAATATAATAATAATTTATTATATTATATTATATATATTATATTATATTATTATAATTTATTATATTATTATATTATATTATTGTATATATATTATTATATATTATATTATATTATTATTATAATATATTATATTATATATTATAATATATATATATATAATATAATATAATATAATATATTATATATATTATATATTTATTATATATTATTATAATTTTATATATTATTGTATATTATATTATATTATATATTATATATATATTATTATTATTATAATATAATATTATATTATATATATTATTATTATATAATTTATTATATTATTGTATATTATATAATTATATATATTATTATATTATAATATAGTATATTATATCATATTATAATATACAATTATAATATATTATATAATAATATAATATAATATACAATACAATGCACCAGACATACGAAAATAATTACGAAATAATTACAAAATTACGAAATAATTACGAAAATTGGAAAAAATGTTTCGATTCTTAATTACTCCTCACACTATTCCTGCATGGCTCGATATTGGATCGAGAACTATAAAACTTGCACCAGACATGCAAAAATAATTACGAAACAATTACGAAACAATTATGAAATAAATTGAAAAAATTGTTCCGAATCTAATTTACTCCTCACACTATTCCTGCATGGCTCAATATTGGATCGTAAGCTAATTTAAATATGAATTAATAACGAATTACGAAATTAACGAACGAAACCACCCAAGCCTAGTAAACAACATTGCATCCCAATACAGAGCGTAATACGCCCTCCAATCTCATGCGCAACCACCATTTCCAAAACCCTGAAACCAAAAAAAGTATTGTTGAAGGCTTTCATGGCCTGAATCACTGGGTTGTTGTAGGTTTTTCGGGCTCTATGGCCATGTTATAGAAGCATTCTCTCCTGGCATTTCGTCTGCATCTATGGCAAGCATCCTCAGAAGTTGTGAGGTCTCTAAGGATGTCTGCCACAGATGCAGGCAAAACGTCAGGAGAGAATGCCTCTAGAACATGACCATGCAGTCAAAAAAACCTACAACAACCCAAGGAAAGTATTTCATGGCAAATGTCATGCGCAGTGGCAAAAAATATGCACTCCTTGTAAATATACGATTGCAGTTGCTGCCTGCTTGAAAACCAAAATGTTCGAGCACCAAAACTTCCAGCAATCTATATAAATAAAAATGCAATATTCGGGTTGTTGTAAGTTTTTTTTTGGGCTATTTGGCCATGTTCTAGAGGCATTTTCTCCTGACGTTTCGCCTGCATCTATGGCAAGCATCCTCAGAGGTAGTGAGGTGAATGCAATATTTTGTCGAAGGCTTTCATGGCTGGAATCACTAGGTTCTTGTGGGTTTTTTCGGGCTATAGAGCCATGTTCTAGAGGCATTTCTCCTGACGTTTCGCCTGCATCTATGGCAAGCATCCTCAACCTCTGAGGATGCTTGCCATAGATGCAGGCGAAACGCCAGGAGAAATGCCTCTAGAACATGGCTCTATAGCCCGAAAAAACCCACAAGAACCTAATGCAATATTTGTTTGTGGGATTAACAGAACTCAAAAACCACTGGGGGAATTGACACCAAATTTGGACACAAGACACCTAACAACCCAATGTATGTCCTTCACTCAAAAAAATTGATTTTGTCATTTGGGAGTTGTAGTTGCTGGAATTTATAGTTCACCTACAATCAAAGAGCATCCTTAACACCACCAACGATGGAATTGAACCAAACTTGGCACACAGTTCTCCCATAACCAACAGAAAATACTGGAAGGGTTTGGTGGGCAGTGTCCTTTGGTTGTGGAGTTGTAGTTCACCTACATCCAGAGATCACTGTGGACTCAAACAATGATGGATCTGGATGAAACTCTAAACGAATACTCAATATGCCCAAATGTGAACACTGGTGGAGTTTAGGGAAAATAGAATCTTGACATTTGTGAGTTGTAGTTGTTGGGATTTATAGTTCACCTACAATCACAGAGCATTCTGAAACCCACCAATGATAGAATTGGGCCAAACCTCCCACACAGAACCCCCATGGCCACCAGAGTGGGCGTTGCAGGGGACGGCTAGTCTATATAAATAAAAATGCAATATTCCTTTGTGGGATTAACAGAACTCAAAAACCACTGGACGAATTGACACCAGATTTGGACACAAGACACTTATTAGGCCAACAAGTGACCATCACTCATAAAAATATTGAAAAACACAGTGGGAGGAACTTAAAAAGCCAAAAAGCAAAAAAATACATTACAACGCATATGCAAAACCATATATATCCATAAACACACACATATATACACAAACATATATGCACACACATATATAAACACACAAAACATATATACACAGACAGGGCCAAAAAAGCAAAAAGATGCTACAGCGTATCCACAAAAATGTCTCCCCAGCAAACAAAAGACACAATAGCATATCCACACTCTCTTCTGGACTACATCTCCCAGCATCCCCTAGACCAGGCCCTTTAGGAGAGGGGGATGATCCAAATGCACTGCTTCCAAACTGCAACCTTTCTTCTCCTTGGAGTTCTTTGAGAGCATCCCAACTCCTGCAGATTTCCCATTTCCTATTCCTGGACTGCAACTCCCAGTGATCTTCCAGATAGATAAGATAGATAGATTTGATAGAGCTAGATAGGTAGGTGGGCAGATCGATCAGGAGGACTGCTGGGAGTTGCAGTCCAAGAATAGGTAGAGAAGGAAGAAAGGACAGAAAGAGGAAAGGAAAGAAAAGGGGAGAAGGAAGGGAAGGAAGAAAGGAGAGAAGGAAAGAAAAAAAGGGGAGGAAGGAGGAAAAAAACATATTTAATAATCTAGAGCCGTGGACCTTATTTTAGGTCTTCCTGCCCACCAGTGGGCTGTGACCAACAGGTTGAGAACCACTGCTAGAGAGGAAAAACTATTGTTGTTGTTGGTAGTGGTGGTGTTGTTATTTGAAACACAAGATGAGTCCACAGGAGACTCTGCTGGCTGTTGAATTGGATCACACGTCGGACCCTTCCCAAGTGTCTAGGACGGTGTGATGTATCGGCAAATGATGCGTGCAGGTCCCAGTAAAGTGGCCTTTAGCGGCTGGCAGATGGTAATTTTGTCAGCGCCGATTGTGTTTAAGTGCAGGCCAAGGTCTTGAGGCACTGCACCCAGTGTGCCGATCACCACTGGGACCATCTTTACTGGTTTGTGCTAGAGTCTTTGCAGTTTGATCCTTATATCGTGTCAGCTTTTCCAATTGTTTCTCTCCAGTCCTGCTGTCACCTGGGATTGTGACATCAACGATCCATATTTGTTTTTTAACACGATTGTGAGGTCAGGAATGTTGTGCTCCAAAACTCTGTCTGTCTGAATCCGGAAGTCCCAGAGGAGTTTGGCGTGTTCATTCTCTGTAACTTTTTCCGGCTTGTGATCCCACCAATTCTTTGTCGCAGGCAGGTGATCTTTGTGGCACAAGTTCCAATGTATCATTGGAGCAATGGTGTTATCGTAGGCCTGTTTGATCAAGAAAAAATTTGTTTCTAAAATCGATTTGTAATTGGGGTGTTTTTTTGTTTCGATATTTAAAATATTTACAAAACTTTCCCCCCCCAAAAAAGTTTTGGTATTTACGAAATTTTGTAAATATTAACGAATTTTTAGAATATTTTTTGTATTTTTTAAGAATAATATTAAAATAATATTAAAAAATATTTTAAAATGGAAAATTAACCAAAAAATGGCCCAAATGTGGACCAAACACAGGCAGGAGACAGCAAATGAGAGCACACACCAACAGAAGAGTCTTTTCTTTTTTAGAATATTTTTTAAGAATAATATTAAAAATAATATTAAAAATAATATTAAAATAATATTAAAAAATATTTTAAAATGGAAAATTAACCAAAAAATGGCCCAAATGTGGACCAAACACAGGCAAGAGACAGCAAATGAGAGCAAACACCAACAGAAGAGTCTTTTCTTTTTTAGAATATTTTTTAAGAATAATATTAAAATAATATTAAAAAATAATATTAAAATAATATTAAAAAATATTTTAAAATGGAAAATTAACCAAAAAATGGCCCAAATGTGGACCAAACACAGGCAGGAGACAGCAAATGAGAGAAAACACCAACAGAAGAGTCTTTTCTTTTTTAGAATATTTTTTAAGAATAATATTAAAATAATATTAAAAAAATATTAAAATAATATTAAAAAATATTTTAAAATGGAAAATTAACCAAAAAATGGCCCAAATGTGGACCAAACACAGGCAGGAGACAGCAAATGAAGCAAGCAGCACTCACAGCAGCAAGGAATGAATCCATTAATCCAGTTGCTAGCAGCCAAGCCAACCCAATGCAAACTCCCTCGCCCTCT